CCCACATCAGCTACAGGCGCATCAGGGACCCCGTAGGGGGAGAGGCCAAGGTCGAGGTTTTGCACCTAGAAATAGGTCCAATCCGAACCTCCCTGGATATTGTTTGCACCATAGGTCCTACGGGCACGACACCGCGGACTGCAGAAACTATGCACACCGCTCGCGGTAGGAACCCGCCAGGGAAAGACATAACTCGCCCCAAGCCAACAGGCCCCCGCCTAGGCAAGACAACCGACATGGGCGTGAGGCGGCCGCTCCTCGCCAAAGGGAGGTCTCCCCAAGGCGAAGAGAGCAAGACACGGAGAGGCCCAGGGAAGGGCGTAGACACCGAAGAAACAGGCAAGCTCAAGATGAGGCCCCCATCCACGAGATAGATACCATATTTGGAGGCCCTTACGTTGGCGGTGAAACACGGAATGCCAAAAGAAACTATGCTAGGGAGGCTAAGCACCCCCCTCTGACAAGTTACATTGTGGATAATAGCTCCCGAAGAAACCAAGCACCACCCATTGTCTTCACCCAGGAAGACGCCGAAGGAGTTCATTACCCCCACTGCGATGCGCTGGTAGTGAGGGCGATCATAGCTCGAAATGGGCTCAAACGAATGCTGGTCGACAACGGCAGCTCCGTCAACATCTTATTCGGGTCCGCCTTTGACAAGATGATATTGGACCATCAGTTGACACCCACCACCACTCCATTGTACGGATTTACCGGAGATAGCATTACTCCGAGAGGAAAGATAACACTGGCAGTGGAGATGGGAGAATCCCCTCAAACTACAATGAACTTTATGGAGTTCCTCGTAGTCGACAGTCGGTCGGCCTACCACGGAGTCTTGGGTAGACCGGCCCTAAAGGAATTGGGAGCAGTCACCTCCATCCACCACCTATGCATGAAATTCCCAACAAAAAATGGGGTGGCAACGGTGAGAGGCGACCAGAGAGGTTCGCGAGAGTGTTATCTGAGCTCCATTAAGAAGGTAGAGCCCCCGAACGTCCACGTGATCATGGCTGATGTGGTCATGGCGGATGTCCCAGGTGACGTTCCCACTGACCAGGAAGATGTTGATATGATCGACGCACCCCTTATTCAGGAGGCACCAATCGTTGATGAGATCGACCCCCGCATAATGGAACATGAGCCTCAAGCCTCCCCTGTAGAGGAACTTGAGAGCTTCTCAGCCGACCCTCGAGATCTGTCCAAGGTGCTGAAAGTAGGCAGGGGCTTATCCGACATTTTGAGGAAAAAGATTAAGGATTTTCTAGGCAAGAATCTGGACGTCTTCGCCTGGAGGCATGAGGACATGGTGGGCATAGACACCAAGGTCAGCTGCCACCACTTGAAAATCGATCCTAATTTTGCCCCGCATAGACAAAAAAGGAGAGCCCTCAATCCCGAAAGGTATGAGGCCCTGAAGGAAGAGGTTCAGAAGCTAATCCAAAATGGCTTCATCAGGGAGGCCACCTATCCGAAGTGGGTCTCCAACCCGGTCTTGGTTAAGAAACACAACGGTAAATGGCGAGTATGCATCGACTTCACCAACCTTAATAGAGCTTGCCCGAAAGATAGTTTTCCGCTTCCAAGAATTGATCAATTGGTGGACTCCACGGCTGGGCATGAGTTATTGAGCTTCATGGATGCATACTCCGGATACAACCAGATCCTCATGCACCCGGCCGATGAGGAGCACACCTCTTTCATCACGGATCGAGGCCTCTATTGCTATAGAATGATGCCTTTCGGGTTGAAGAACGCCGGAGCAACTTACCAAAGACTTGTGAACAAAATGTTTACCGACCTCATCGGCAAGACAATGGAGGTCTACGTGGATAACATGCTGGTGAAAAGCTTAGAGGCAGAAAACCACGTAGCGCACCTCAACAACACCTTCCAAATCCTGAGAAGGTACAGGATGAGGCTCAACCCCCTGAAATGTGCCTTCGGGGTGGCTTCCGGCAAGTTCTTGGGGTACATGGTTAACCAGCGAGGAATTGAAGTAAATCCCGAGAAGATTGAGGCTCTGTGCCAGATGAGGGCCCCTTAAAAGCCAAAGGAGGTGCAAAGCTTAACTGGGCGAGTGGCAGCACTTAGTCGCTTCGTCTCCAAAGCAACTGACAAGTGCCTCCCATTTTTCAAGGTGCTCAAGGCTGGGAAGAAATTTCAATGGACTGAGGAATGCGAAGAGGCCTTCCAAGGATTAAAAAGGCACTTGGGGCAGGCCCCCCTCCTTTCAAAGCCGAAGCCTGGCGATATATTGCAACTATATCTCGCTGTCTCCAATGACGCCATCAGTTCGATTTTGATTCAAGAAGAAGGGCCCACCCAACTTCCCGTCTACTACACGAGTAAAGCGCTCCTATCGCCGGAGACCCGATACCCCGATATGGAGAAGCTTGCTTTGGCGTTAATCACGGCCTCTAGGAAATTGAGACCTTACTTCCAAGCTCATACCATCCATGTACTTATAAATTTTCCCCTGAGGCAAGTACTCCAGAAGCCCGATGCCTCGGGAAGATTGTTGAAATGGGCAGTGGAACTAAGCGAATTTGACCTTGTGTTCAAAGCAAGGGCGGCCATCAAAGGGCAAGCGTTAGCAGACTTTGTTGCTGAATTCGCCAACCTACCCGAGGTGGATGAAATCATGGAGCCCGTCGAACTCCCCATGTGGAGCCTCTTCGTAGATGGTTCGGCTGGAGATGTCGGCTCTGGTGCCGGGGTTGTCCTTATCAGCCCCGAGGGTCACAAACTCACCTCGGCCGTGAGGTTCGGGCTCAAAGCTACCAACAATGTTGCAGAGTACGAAGCACTCCTTGCAGGCCTCAGACTGGCCAAGGAAATGCAAGTAAAGAAGCTACTCGTCAATAGTGACTCCCAGCTGGTTGTTAGCCAAGTCAATGGTAATTTCTCAGCCAAAGATAGAACAATGGCCTCCTATCTGAAAATGGTGATGAGCCTCATCCCATCCTTTGAAAAGTTTGAGTTAATCCAGATTCCCCGCATCGAAAATGCTCATGCGGACGCACTCTCGAAGCTGGCTAGTAGCAAGGACTTAGAGCTACTCACTGTAGTACCTATCGAGCACCTCCTACTGCCTTCTACCGAGGCCCCTAATGTCATATGGGTCGGTGAAATTCCCACCTGGATGCAACCAATTATAGCATACCTGAAAGACCAGGTGCTACCCACCGACAAAAATGAGGCTTACAAGCTAAGAAGGAGGTCAGCCCATTTCCTCTTCATCGATGACATTCTCTACAAGAGAAGTTTCTCCTCTCCACTCTTACGATGTGTCGGAGGAGAAGAGGCTACATACATATTACGAGAAGTCCACGAGGGAGTGTGCGGCAACTACTCTGGAGGCCTATCTCTGGTACAAAAAATACTGAGACAAGGATACTACTGGCCCACCCTGAAACGGGATGCCCTCGAATTTGTGCGAAAATGTGATAAGTGCCAACGATTCTCTCCCGTTCAAAGACGACCATCACAGGATTTGACTGCAGTCTCTAGCCCCTGGCCTTTCTCAAAGTGGGGTGTGGACCTCATAGGCCCTCTACCAAAGGGTAGAGGAGGCGCAAGTTTTGCAATAGTGGCCATTGATTACTTCAC